CAAATGATCACAACTGCAATAAATTAAACTTATTAAAGCTTGAGATCATTACCTCAGATTGAGTATTTGAAGCAGCAGGAACGTTAAGGGGAATCTTATTTAATCAGACATTGTTTAAGTAGTCGTTTTTATGTGGGTGATGAAGAGCAAAGAAGCCACAGATGAGCAGTTTACCTCCTGCTTTATGCTGCTGCCCCCTAGCGTCTGCCTGTGTGTAATGCAACATATTGATAATTATGTCTTTAAATGTTCAACATAAGAATGGAGGGAGTGAACAAAGGATGAAGAAAAGAAAATGACACCAGATAAATAAAACTGAGCGTTTAATTGTGGTGAATAATTTTAAGAGAGGACCAAATTTCAAACAGAAACCTGTCCACATCTGTGACTTCAAACATCTGGAATGGTGTCCATCAGAGAAACACTTGAAATGCACTTTAATAGTAAAACTGATGTGAACAGTAAAGTTAAAAGTAGTGAAGTTATCCAATACTGTAAAATAAGATGCGTGTGTGTTGTAGTGTAGTAAAACGTAGCTTGTATTCACTATGAAAAGCTGTAAATTAAAGAAACTTTGTAATATGTTGCCATGTTTGTCTTTTTATTCTTCAATTCACAGCATTTGTACCTTTTTCAGAATCTTAAAATGTTACATATAAGAACTTTAGAAGCTACAAAAAAAACCCTCAAGTCATTATTTAAAGGATAACAACTGATTTTTGTTTTGCCTTACTGTTACAAGGTTGGATGCTACTAAATGAGGGTGATGTTTAAAAGCTTTACATGTGTAACGGTGCAAGATTAATATGTGCAAATAATGAGCTAAAGGCTGTTTTGTGTTGTCTGCTGTTCAACCCTGTTTTTTAAGGGACAGCCAATCAAAAACCAAATCATCTGACTTAAGGTAGATGAGTTAAAGCAGGAGTGGGGAACCCCAGGCCTCAAGGGATGGTGTCCTGCAGGTGTTAGATGTGTCCTTAATCCAACACGGCTGATTTAAATGGCTAAACGACCTCCTCAACATGTCTTGAAGTGCTCCAGAGGCCTGGTAATCAACTAATCCTTTGATTCAGGTGTATTGACCCAGGATGATATCTAAAACCTGCAGGACACCAGCGCTTGAAGTCTGGAGTTCCACCACCCTTGTGTTAAAGCAACTGAGCGTTTGCACCAAAGCCAGAATAAGGTAAGTTTATTTTTGACCAGAGAGTCATGCAAAGCTATTTTAGTAAAGGTCAAAGTGGAAAATATGATGCTGGAAATGAAAATAACAGATCTGCTTTAATGCCCAACTAGTTTCATTTCAACTGTTTCACTCAAGAGTTTAAGTGAGAGCAAAGCCAAACATTGGATTTGTGCCAGTTTCCTTTTAAGTAATAGTGTGTGTGTGAATACATTAAAATCCATTTTAAGTTCAGTTACTGGTATGCTGAACTGGTAGTTGGCCAGCTTACATAATCTTATTTCCATGTGCATTCATGGGGCCACTTTGTACCGTAAACCTGCTCATCTGCTTGTTCATGCAAATATCAGCCAATCGCACGGCAGCAGCTCGATGCGTTAAGGCACGGGTGTCAAACTCCAGCCCTCGAGGGCCGGTGTCCTGAAGCTTTTAAATGTGTCCCTGCTGCAACACACCTGAATAAAATTAGATTCTTGACTGCATGCTGAGGTGGCAATTCGGCATTTGATTCACGTTACAGCAGCTCATGAGTGAGTGAACATGGATAAAAGTACATTTTTCCAAACACTTAGATTTGTTTTAATTTACTTGAGTAGTTAGGGGTTGCCCCCTCAGCATGCAGTCAAGGTCTATAGTTTTACTAATGACCTAATTTATTCAGATGTGTTGCAGCAGGCACACATTTAAGTTTCAGGACACTGGCCCTCAAGGGCTGGAGTTCGATACCCCTGCATCAAGGCAGGGGTATGAGAATATGGAACAAAAGATATTCAAGAGACTTTGAATGTTGTTTGGTTGTTGGTGTCAGACATTTGCCTGCTAGTATCAACTGAGGGCATTTAAACACCAGAGCCTGAGTATTGTCGCTTATCATGTCCAAACTGGTTTCTTCATGACAACAAGTTCCCTGCACTCTAACACGAGGTTAACATAAAAAAATACTCTGGTATGTGACGCACAAAGATAATGAAAGTAGTCTTTTTTTTTTTTTTCTTTACACAGTTGCATATTTTATTACGAAACATCAGTACAGGTAAACAGGTTGTCAAAAATACACAGTATCTGGGCATTCTGCCCTACACTTTAAAACATATCTTACAAATCTCTAAAGCGTAGATGGGAAAAAAAGTAAATAAAATAACTGCCATGACGGTATTTTAATATACCATTAGTAATATGTCAGTGTGGTACGATAATAAATTACTCACTGTTGACAAAACGTGTCATTCATAAATATTTTGGAGCTGCAAGCCAGCTACTCAGAAAGGACGTATGCATAGAAAGCAACTTCAATAGATGACCTGGATATAAAAATACAAAAACCAGCACTGCGGGTGCTTCCTCAAACATTTCATCCCGTCAGGTATTTTAGCAAAGTTGGTATAAATTCCTACATGTTCCTACAGTAACATCAAACAGAACTGAAAATGAACTTGTTCCCTGCAGTGTCGCCTTTTCTAAAATAAATACTGTTAGTTGAACAAACTTATAAATCCATATTATGACAAAACTGCCACAATTTCAAAGAAACCACTGAGAAAGTGAAGCCCGCTAAAACTGACCTACTGATTCATGAACGGCTCACAGCGTGGAAGTCAGCACCATCTGGACTCAATCACCTGATCAATAATACATCTGAACAACAAAGTGCTGTTGCATAACGGCTGCAGATACCCGCGGTGACGTGACCAGTGGCTTTGGACTGTCACGCTTGAGTGGGTGAGGATGTTTTGTATATCATCACAGTACTGTAAAGGCTCTAAAACATTTTTTTTTTTAAAAATAAAGGAAAAAAAAAAACTAAAATACAACAGTGCACAGAGCGGTTCACAACCACCATCTGTCACATCATTTCCTGAGCCACAGCTGCACTCAGAGGAAACTCTTCAGACGAGACTAATTCTGCTTTCGTGCTTTTCAGTCTCTGCGTGAAACGCTAAAATCCACCAAACGCGGTAACTATTTTGTTAATGAACTAAATGCTGTTTCTGTGGACATCTTTATCTAATCCACCTGATCAATCTTTGATTCCTGCCCATTTCTACTGTTTGAAATCCTGACCTGATCACTTAGCATCTGACATTAATAAAAAAAGAGGTTAAGTGATTTCTCTACTGAAGATTTGACCTATAACATTAGTGTTTCAGCCATCCTCTCCATCCAATATCAGTCAAATCAAATCTCA